ATAAATACTACTTGTTAACTCTGCGTGAAAATCACGTTGGAACATTTCTGCGGTGAAATATCTGTCTTAAAACCAGTCTGATAAATTAGGACTGCAGTTCCCCTTTAATCCAAGTTTAAATTTAGTGACAGTCATTTTTGACATGCAACTACTTTGCCTGTTAAAAATGAAGATAAGCTCAAATGAATGATTTGTGCCTCGCACAAATTGTGAGGGCTTATGGGAGGGAGGTTTTTTTGTTTATGGTTTTAAATGCTATACAAAGTCATAAACTCGTAATTGTAAAGTTTATCACCACTGGTAGATCTTGCTGTGGTTCTGAAAGATGATCGGGGGTTTCTCAAAAAAGGCAGAGGCACAACTTACAGCGGTTCATGAGAAAAGCTTTGAGGAAATCTTCAGAAATTGCTGAACTACGACAGAGGCAGTAACCAAACAAAAAAAAACCTGTGGCTTTGGGTAGTGGTCAGCACATAGACCGTTTTCATTTCTCACTGCATTGCTGAGCATATCTGACAAAGGGCTGCTAAGAGAGATTAATTTGTCAACAACAAAATAAGCTTTTCATAAATGTAAGAGGCAATGTTATTTTGGAGGGAATCAAGGGGACATTATTATTATTATTATTAGTAGTAGTAGTAGTAGTAGTAGTAGTAATATAAACAAAGAAAACTATTTGAATCTATAGAAGACTGATGGATTATTGCGCTACGGAAAAGCAGATTTCAGTATTGACTTTTTGGATGTGCATGCACATATTTATGGAGCTCTCTATCTCACCTGGCCTTTGGCACTTCAGTTGTGTTGCTAGTATTCCTTCCAAGGTGTTCCCTGTGGACAGCAAAGAAAAAGATTGAAATCCGCCGTTGAAAAATTGCTAACATATCAGTCTCCAGATTCATGAACTCTTTATATTTACAACAATCCCTTTTGTATTTTAATTTCTGAAACATGAGGAATGACCATCATTGATCCACACAGGTGAGGTGCCACAGAATTTTCATTATCCTCCCTTTTCTTTCTGTAACTCCGCGGTCTGAACTGGTGACCCAGGTCATTCAGCCCTCAGCAATTCAGTCAGCACATGACTAACAGCAAGCCTTGCAGTCAGCCAGAGCCTGGTGGAAGTCCAAACAATAACTACCCTTTTCAGATCTGCTTAAGATGTTATCAGCACTGCCGCAGGAGCAGTCCCACAAATGAGGATAAATGCAAAACCGAGTGCAGCAGAAGCAGCACTTCCCTTCAGTCTTGTTGCACAAAACAAAGGACCTGAAGGCCAACGAGCGACATGAATCTGACTGACACTTCCCAGCCGCTTTGCCTCGGCGAGGAAGCAAGATGAGGCAGGCAAGCGAGTCGGCGCAGGAAGCACTTGGGATTTCAGGAGTTCGGCGGCTCCTACGGGCGCAGGCCTACCTCAGCACTCTCTGCTCCTCCTCCATCCTCTCCCTCACTGCGCCCAGCTCCCGGATCAAACTGGCGTCTGTGCCGTTCACCCAGGTGTACACCACGTCGATCGGCATCGGCAGACATAACCTGCACGCAGAAACAACACCAAGCCACTGTGACCCTGTAACACACACGTACATGATTCTAGCATTCAACGCGTAAGCAAAAATGCAGGTGTAATAATCAGAATCCAACATGTTGACAGAGGAAGTGGTCTCAGGCTGCCACAGGACTGAAAATCCAGTGGTCCCTTCTGACAGCTCCAAGTACAATCCAGGGAAGCTCCCTGCTCTATCCCAGGACTTGGAAGCAGACTTGAAAGCACCAGCTCTCCACCACCACCACCACCACAGACACTTAAGTCCAGACACCAGCGACAACACCAGTCAGCGCCATATCACCAGCAACACAGGAAAAGGGGAGCTGGGGTTTCAATGTAGAGGTGGAACGGTAGAGCTGCATGACAGAACTGGGGACCTGGGTTCAATTACTAGGGTGCTGTCGGTGTGGAGTTTGCGTGGCTTTCCCCTGGGAGCTGCAGTTTCCTCTATCGGCTTTCTCCAAAGGCATTCTGGTAGCTCAATGGCCTTCTGGGAAAACTGGCCCTTGTGTGAGTGTGTGTCTGTCCGCCCTGCGATGGACTGGCGTCCTGTCCAGGGTGTGTGTGCCCGGTGACGGACTGGTGTCCTGTCCAGGGTGTACTCTGCCTTGTGCCTGTTGCTTGCTGGGATAGACTCCAGCTAGCTCCCTCGGGACCCTGTACTTGCAGTACTCAGTGAAAATGACTGTTTACTATGCGATGTGATATGTATATAGGACATATTGTATATTACTGCTTCAGTTACCTAGCAGTGGTGACGCTTAAGAAGTTTTCAAAAAAAAAAGAAAAGGATTTTTTTTAGGTGCTCTTCACGGTCTTTGGGAAAAACCTGTTGTATGTGCCTGTACTCTTCAGGGGCCTTTTTAATAAAGGTAATATAACTAGCTCATGGAGGAGAAGGACTAACATGCTGGACAAAGAGGTTACAAAATGCATGGATGGCTTCCACACACAACCGACCCCTCGGAGATCTCAGGAGTCAGGCACGAGGCAGCACCGCACTCCGCCATGCTCAGGTGCCTCCCCGACGCCGCAGGCGAGGAACTCACCGGTTCTGGAAGGACTTGCCCGCCACATTGTCTCGATACGAGTCAAACAGGACGTGATACTGGTCTCGGCTCCATTCCACAACCACCTGCGGGAAGATCGGAAGACCTCAG